TCGGCGGCTCCATTTCTGATCCAGCTTCCCGCTGCTGCACCTGAGAACACAATGGATGACAGCTCAGGCACTTGGGGTCCTGCCGCCTCCATGGGTGACTTGGATGGAATTCCATACTCTCGGCTTCAGCATGGCTCTGCTCTGGATGTTGTAGCCATCTGGGGAGTGGACCAGTGATTGAAGGCATCTCTTCTCTCTCTCTCTCTCTCTCTCTCTCTCTCTCTCTCTCTCTCTCTCCAGTGATTGAAGGCATCTCTTCTCTCTCTCTCTCTCTCTTTCTCTCTCTCCACATGTGTGTGTGTGTCTGTCTGCCTTCTAAAGAAATAAACAATTTTTTAAAAATCTTCCTTGCTTTGACTTCTGATCCCTCCCCTGCCCACAAACCTCTAGAAACCCCTGGATTTTTCATTGTCTCCATAGTTTTGCTTTTTGCAAAATGCCATACAATTGGAAACAGACAGTATACAGGCTTTTCAGATTGGCTTCTTTCTTATACACATTTTTTAAAAGATTTATTTAATGGAAAGAGAGAGAGAGAGAGAGAGAGAGAAATCTTCCATCTGCTAGTTCACGCCCCAGATGTCAGCAATGGCCAAAGCTGGGCTGATCCGAAGCCAGGATCCTGGAGCCTCGGTTTCTCTTCCACTGCTTTTCTGGACACATTAGCAAGGAGCCGGATTAGAAGTGGAGCAGCAGGGATCCCAACCCCTCTTACTAACACACATTTAACTTTCCTTTCTACCTCTTCATGGTTTGGTAGCTCATTGCTTTTTCGCAGTGAATAATCCCCCATTGTCTGGATGTACAATAGTTTGTTTATCCATTTGTCTGTTCAAAATCATCTTGATTACTTCCAGGTTTTGGTAATTATGCATCAGATTTTTGCATAGAAAGAAGTTTTCAATTTTTTTGGATAAATATCAAGGAATGCAATCGCTGCATTGTATGATTTATCATTATTGCTTTAATTTGCATTTCCCAATGAAATATCATGTGATGAATCTTTTCATATGCTTACTGTCATCTGGTATCTCTGGTTTTGTATCTGTTAAAGTCTTTGGCCCATTTTTTAATTAGATTGATTTTTCTCATTGTTGAGCTTTAAGAGTTTTTTTTAATATATTTTGGCTAACAGCCCTTTGTCAGGTATATCTTTTGCAAATATTTTCTCCCAGTGTGTGGCTTGTCTTCTTATTCTTTTGACTGTGTCTTTCACAGAGCAGAACTCTTTTATTATATCCAAGTCCAGATTATCAGTTATTTCTTTCATGGGACATGCCTTTAGGGCTGTGTCTAAAAAATCATTGCCACATCCAAAGTCACCTAGATTTTCTCCTCAATGTCCTTTAGTGGCTATTCTTATTCTTTTGAGTTCCCACATAAACTGCAAAACCATTTTGTCAGTATCTCCAAAGTAATTTGCTGAGATGTTGACTGGCATTCCACTGAATCTGCAGATCAAGTTGGGAAAAACATAGACCATATCTCTATTGATGTAATTCTTGGAATTCTTTCATCAGAGTTTTGTAGTTTGCTTCATATGAATATTGTACATATTTTGTTAGATTTATACCTTAGTGTTTCAGTTTTTTTGGGGGGGTGCTAATGTAAATGGTATTGTGTTTTTAATTTCTAATTTCCCCTCTTTTTAAAATTTGTTTATTTGAAAGAGTTACACAGAGAGAGGAGAGGCAGAGAGAGAGAGAGGTCTTCCCTCTGCTGGTTCACTCCCCAATTGGCCGCAGCAGCTGGAACTGCACCTGCCAGGAGCCAGGGAGATTCCTCTGGGTCCCCAACGTGGGTGCAGGGGCCCGAGGACTTGGGCCATCTTCTACTGCTTTCCCAGGCCATAGCAGAGAGCTGGATCGGAAGTGGAGCAGTCGGGTCTCAAACCCGGCACCCCTATGGGATGCCAGCGCTTCAGGCCAGGGCATTAACCTGCTGCGCCACAGCGTCGGCCCCTATAACCTCCCTTGTTGATTGCCAGGATCTAGGAAAGTGGTTGACTTTTCTAAATTAACCTAGCATACAACCTTGCTATAATCACTTTAATTTCAGCAAGATTTGTTGTTATTGTTGTTACTGGTTCTTTTAGATTTTCTACACAGATGCCATGCCATGGGCAAGCAAATGTAATTTCTATCTTCCTCCTGAATCCACATGTCTTTCACTTCCTTTTCTTGTCTTATTGTATTAGCTAGCAAATCCGGTATAACGCTGCAGATGAATGATAATAGGGGACCCACTGACTAGCTCCTACTTCTTATGGAGTTTCCAACTATTAAGCATGAGAACGGTAGGTGGGTTTGTAGGCATTCCGCGTCAGATCCAGGAAGGTTTCCTCTATTCCTGATAGATTTAACACGCATGGCTGTTGGATTTTGTTAAATGCTTTTTCTGCATCTATTGACATGAACATGTGATTTTCTTCGTTGGCCTACTGATGTGCTGAGTTATGCTGTTTCTTTTCAAATGTGGAACCAGACGTGCACAGCTCTGATGGATCCACTTAGTTGTGGGGTGTAATTCAGGATGGTTTGAGCATGCACACCCCTAAGACAGTTTAGAATTGCTAGTATACCTCTGTGAGATTTTTTTTAAAAAAACAACAAACAATTCCCTTTGTGTGCATGTGTTTCTTTGTCTCTAGCTTTATAGTGTCTGTTCTTACCCTGTTTTCCAGTTCCTTAGGTCATGTCCTTTCTTCCTATTCTGGTAGAAGTAGTTATGTGATTAGCTTTTAGGACAGATATACCCACAGTCTGCATTCCTTGTTGGGTTCTCCCCACATCCTAGGTGATGGTTTTTTTTAATAATTACAGAATAAAATTCGCCCTAATACTTTTGACAGTCTAGTTGTACATCTACCACTGGTTCCTGCCATGATACTTACATCCCCCAAACCTCCTCCTACCCTCTGACAGCTGTTAATCTATTTTCTGTCCCTGTAGTTCTGTCGTTTCCAAAATTTCATATAAATGGATCCATACAACACGTAGTCTTTGGAGTCTGCCTTCTCTCACTCACTAAAACATTGTTTCATGGATGCTATTGGGTGAATCAACAGTTTGTTTATTGAATTGGCTTTCTCTGGTTAGAAGTTTATACCTTTACCAGTTGAAAGATATCTGGGTTGTTTCCAGTTTGGGGTTATTATGAATAAAGGCTTATGGAGATTCACATATATTTTCTTTAATTAACATACATTTTCTCTCAATCAACACCTAACAGTGGGTTTGCTAGGTCGTATGGGATGTGTGTGTTTACCTTATTAGAAGCCATTAAATTATTTTCCGAAGTGTACCGTTTTGTGTTCTCACCACAATGTCTGAGTGTTCCAGTTGATCGACATCCTTGCCGAGAGCTGCGATGGTCAGGACTTCCTGTGTTTTGCTTTCTTAAGCCATTCTAACAGCTGTGTGTGTGATTTTCTCATTGTGGTTTATTATTTAATTATATGAGAGGCAGCAGGAGTGCCTCTGTCTGCTAGTTTACTCCCCCAAGGATCAAGACTAGGCCAAGCCAAGGGTAGGAGCTGAGAGCTCCATGCAGGTCTCCCACATGGGGGACTGGGATCCAGGTACCTGGGCCAGCACTTGCTGTTTCCTGGGGTCCGCTTTGGCAGGAACCTGGAATTGGGAGCTGGAGCTGCAACTCAAACCCAGGTTATCCCACGTGGGACTGGACATCTTGGCCATCAGGTCAAATGTCTTCCCCTCATGGAACTTCCCATGGGCAATGATGCGAGCATCTAATGATGCGTCATCCTTTATGGACTGCATCCCCCAAAAGATGAACTTGGAACTCCCAACACCTGTGAGTGTGACCTTACCGGGAAAGAATCTTTAGGGATGATCGAGTTAACATGAGGTCGCCAGGGTGGGCACTCTGCCAATATGACTAGTGACTTCCTAATTGTAAAGGGGAAATTTGAAAACCAATGCCTACGCTCAGAGAGACTGGGATGAGAGCAGAGCTTTACAAGCCAAGAACTCCAAGATTTCTTGAAAACACTAGCAACTAGGAGAGAAGCATTGAACAGGCTTTCCCTGGCAGCCCTTAGAAGGAACTAACCTGCCCAACACCTTTTAGCCACATTTCCTCATTAGCCATTATAGTTCCACAATGGCTGCAAATACAGATCTTCATGGGTGGGGCTGTCGGAAGGGGTATTCAAATACCCCTGGCCACTCTAGAGATCAGCTGTCCAGCTGTGTGCTGTCTATGAGTAGGCTGGGGAGGGGTGACGTTGGTGACAGGCCTGTCAGTGACATAGGGCAAAAAAAAAAAAAAAAAATCTACATTTCCATGTAAAAGACCATGGAGTAGACAGAGAGGAAGAAGCTAAAGGCTTAACCAAATGGAAGTTTCTTGATGTTTTGTTGGACACTGTGACTCTCTCACAAGTATGCTATCAGCTCACTTTTTAAACAGCCTAGTTCAAGTTTGCTCACGGGGCTGCAAGGTTCTCTCTCCCCTTCTCTGCTGGATACTAAGAAAAGAAGCCTCCCCCTTTCCTGGGCGTTGTTAGGAAGCTCCTCCTGCCACACACAGTTCCCTGAGAGGGCGTCTGGTTGGAGTTCGTATAAAAGGAAGCCTGCACGTTTGATGTATTAAGAAGATAGGATGTGGGGTTCCTAACATCTAACTGGTAAATACTCCCCTCCTTTCTTTCTGCTGTGAAGGATTTTTTTTAAAGATATTTTTCAGAGCAATTTTCAGTTCACAGCACAATTAAGTACAAAGGGTTCCCGTGTCTCCCGTCCCCAGCACGTGCACAGCCTCCTTCCTACATCGGCACATCATCCCCCAGCTCCCTAATTTACCTTAGGGCTTACTCCTTGCGTTGTCCTTGCAAGTTTTAAGATTGATTGATTTGAAAGACAGAGTTATACAGAGAGAGGGAGAGACAGCCAGATATCTTCCATCCACTGGTTCGCTCTCTGCATGGCCACAACAGCAGGGACTGGACCAGGCTGAAGTCAGGAGCCAGGAGCTTCTTCTGGGTCTCCCATGTGGGTGGCAGGGGCCCAGGAACTTGAGCCACGTTCCGCTGCTTTCCCAGGTGCACTAGCAGGGAGCAGAAGTGGAGCAGCCAGGACACGAACCGACACCCATATGAGATGCTGGCACTGCAGGCTGCAGCTTAACCCACTGTGCCACAGTGCCGGTCCACGTTTTATAAACTAAATCCTCTCCTCCCAATTTCTGTGTCTGTGGGCTTACTTTCCACAAAAAGGGTACGCAGGGAGAGGGGGTGGAAATGGGAACTTCCTATTGACTTTTCTTTCTGAATTTCCTCCTTTCAGGTTCTTCTAAGTTTGGCTTAGTGGAAATGCCTCCTGGAATCTGGCGGGTCGATCAAGGATGTTACTAGCTTTCCGCACTGTTGAAGTGTTGAGTGAATGTGCGCGTGTTCCCGCATAACATCTCCAGGAGGCCTGAGAGGAGGGTGAATCAGGGTTGCCTAGTTTTCCACTGCCGCACCTTGGACTCTGTTCAGCTGCTGCTCGGAGATACAGACCCTGGGCTTATGCTATTCCCACCTCCCCATTTTTCTTTCTTTCTTTTTTTTTTTTTTTTTTTTTGGACAGGCAGAGTGGACAGTGAGAGAGAGAGACAGAGAGAAAGGTCTTCCTTTGCCGTTGGTTCACCCTCCAATGGCCGCCGTGGCCAGCGTGCTGTGCTGATCCGAAGCTAAGAGCCAGGTGCTTCTCCTGGTCTCCCATGGGGTGCAGGGCCCAAGCACTTGGGCCATCCTCCAGTGCACTCCCTGGCCACAGCAGAGAGCTGGCCTGGAAGAGGAGCAACCGGGACAGAATCCGGTGCCTCGACCAGGACTAGAACCCCGTGTGCCGGCGCCGCAGGCGAAGGATTAGCCTAGTGAGCTGGGGCACCGGCTGCCCATTTTTCTTGACCAGGCAAATCCCTACTTAACCTTTCAAACAAAACTTTTAAGGAAGCCTTTCCTGACCTCCTAGGCTAAATGTCTTCAATTTCTATTTCCATGCCTACTGTATTGAGGGCTAGATGACAGGAAAATGCCATTATTTTAAAATTCTCAGTGGGTGGCCAATGGCCTCAGGAAAATTCCAGAAGATATCTATTTTGGGTGTCCTTTTTCCAGGGAGGAGAACACCTATCAACATACATAGATCTGAATATCCAGCATTGGAATACAGGCCAGGATGAGACAGTGCTGCGATAGTCCCTGATTTTTAATTTAGATTTTATAGTAATGTTTTCTAAGGAAAAAGCAAGAATATCTAAGTATAGGTTAAGTTAAGAGAAGATTTTATTAAAAAGCTGTCTTTTCCAAAGGAAATAGGGCACAGAAATGATTTCATGAAAATTCATTCCTTTTATTGATGTTTTATTAATGTTGCATAGAAATATAAAATTTTACATGCCATATTTTCCATTAATACATGCAAATATAAGTAAGAACAAATTACGTTCAAATAATCAGAAATTCTTTAACCAAATATTATTTTTATTCCCATAAGGTAGATATTTGGAAACAATTCTGAAACCGTAACACATTAGTCTTCTGCACTTTATGCTAAAATAACATTTTCCCAGTCTGTAATCACTGACTCTCCACACTGGCACAGCCATGTCGTTTCTGTTGCACTTCCTGGTGTCGCTCCTTCACTCCCTTCTGAGCACTCATCTCTACACCAGAGACGTGAGCCAGGTGCTTAGGCCCCTGCTGGGCCTGCTTCTGCTACAGAGCAGTGAACCTGTGCATGGCACTTGGGTGTGTAACTACCTAAGATCATCTTGAGGAGTTCTTAAGAGCCGCCAGCCTTCTGAAAACTGCTCCAGCAAATACTCTTTCCGTTCTGCAAATACTGGGGTTCAAACCACGCGGGTACCCCAGTCCAGGTGCTCCATTCTCTGCAGCAGCTTCTCGGGTGCCTGCGAAGCTTAGAGGGCAAGACTGCTCGCAGAAGCACACGCTGCGGCTGACTCAGCACCTTGGCTATTGTGAACAGTACTGCAACAAACGTGAACTACTGGGCTCTCTTTCCTCTGCTGACTTTACTTCCATTCGATATAATCCCCGAAAGTGGAATAGATGGGTACTATGGTAAAGATCTATTTTTAGATTGTTGAGGACTAGCCAGACTGTTTTCCATCACAGTAGGACTACTTTGTATTCCGATGAACGGTGCATTAGCATTCAATATGTATGCATAAATATGTGAAACATTTACATATTAAGCAAGTATGGAAAATATTAAAATTGTTAAATCTAAAACAAAGAAATATCCATTACAAATCAGAAACTCAAAGCCAACAATCCTTGTTGCAGGCCAGATGGTGACTATCAAGAGGGTAGGTAATCATCTCAATTTGTGGAGCAGAGAACAGGTACAAAGAATCCCTTACCTTTGTGCTTTTACTTGAAATTTACTTAAAATGCATCCTATGATCTGATGCTCAGAACAGAATTTGTGTAAGGTAGGCAGAAGAGCTATCCCTTTACAAATGAAGGCTCAGGGGCTTGCAGACACGAGTCACTCGCGGAAGGTGGCACAAACAAGCAGACAGCATTAGAATTTGAACTCGGGTGCTGGGATTCCCACCGCAGTCTTTCCTTAGTGACTGCACACAGTGAGAAGCAGCGCAGCAGTCTCAGACATCACCAACCCAGAGTGCGCTGGGGCGCGCCATGCAGATCAGCTGCCCCCAAGTGTCAGGAAATGAATCCTCTCGCCTCAGAAGGGGAACCCCTCTGTCATTCTCAGCGTCGCTCTAGACAGTCCTAACACGCTTGATAGAAGGCACCTGGGATGTGAACAACCATATTTGTAAACAGAAGTAGAAATGATGACAGATTTGCTGATTTCTATGGTACATCATGTAAACTTCAGAAATATAAAGTATAAGCTTAGCTAAATTATCAATACAAAATGAATCTTAAGATTTTGATCTCCTATAATCCATTTTACAATTTTCTCGTTTAAAAATCTAAAAGATGATGTGTCACATCTCTCTCACAATTTTTTTTCACTATACAGAAAGTGCGTTCCTTTGGAAAACCAATACCTTGCCAGGTAGCTTCCTTTTGCACACTTTGCTGGTCAGAAGGCCTTCAGTGCAGGTGTGATCCTGCGGAAGCGTCTGTGACCTTGGGGATCTGTAGTTTCAAACACGTAACCTGGAGGAGAGGGGCAGCTAGCTGGGCAGACTTCCTGTTTCTTTGGGGTGTACTCTATGGAGTACGTGGTCACGTCATCAAACGGAGCAGCGCTCTGAAGAGCAACCGTGGGAGGTTTGCAGCTCGCTGTGGGGATCAGCTCATGTGGCACATAGTGCGCTCTGAAGGTGCTCACGCCGTCGAATCTTCCAGATGGGCCGGGGATCTGCGGCTGCGGCTGCACGAGGCCTGGACGACGGCTTTCCCACGCTGGGAAATCTTCCTTCGTGGTGCTTCTTCCTTGGAAGGGAACATGGCTGCTGCTCCTAGGAGCACCTGGCCTGATGGGAGCGGCACGGCTGGCTGGATACGGAACGTAGTCGAGGTGGCTCGTGCTGTGTGACTGCATGCTTCCTGGGTGCGGCACGTGCTCTGCTGCCTTCTTCGCTCCAGGGGCTGGCACTTCCCAGGCCTGAAAACTTGCACGGAATTCCGTGCTTCCTGCAAAGGGGGCGTTCGGGGTCACTCTGGTGTATGGGGGCTTGCAGATTTTTGCCATGTCACCAGCAAGACCCTGAAAGTCACACCGATGAGTTGTGAGGTCCTCAAAGGGCCGGTCAGTTGGTTTGTAAACTTCTCTCGGCCTTGCAAGCTTGAATTCTAGCTCATGCGGTACATAGTCAAGGCGGTGACTGGTCTCGCCATTGAAAGGGACGGTGGACCGTTTGGGCACAGGGGACGGTTTACAGCTTCGCCTTGGCTTTAGCTCCTGGGGAACGTAGTCATCCTGAAATGTGGTGGCATTTCCGAATTTCACGGTAGGGGGATGATAAGCGTGTTCTGGTTTATAAAGCTCACTTTTCTGAATGTCCCAAGCTCTATAATCATCTTGAAAATGAAACAAACAAACACGTTTAAATGATAAAGAAAACCACACCGTCTAAGAATCATGGCTTCTCGCACTGTGAAACATCCTTGCATTGCTTTAGTGAAGTTCCTGTGGTTCTCCTCAGCTCTGTTCTTTCTATTTCACTTCCTGCACTTCACTCCCCTCCCCTACGCATCTCCCCATTTTAACACACAGAACTCCCCATCTTCAGACTCATCTGAGTATGTATCAGGGGAGTGGCACAGCTGGACCTGGCTGTGGATAATTCTTGAAAGCCAAAAAAAAAAAAAAAAAAAAATTGTGTTTGTTGTTGGTGAGAGCAGAGTTTAGGAGATTATAATTGTATTCCAAGGAACTGGTTGAGAGTTTTGCCACAACTCACAAAGTTGCTAGGATGAGCCATCAAGTTCAGGTCTTAAGATATAATCAAGTGCCCAGGTGTGAGGGCAAAACGGGTGTGGGTATTCCCCGTGCTTTGAGGGGCTCCTCGAAGGAGAGAACATTTCCACTTCATTGTCCTCAGGGAAAGCTACAGGACCCTATCCAGGATGGAGGGGGACTTGCACAGGCATGGAAAGATCATTGGCTGCAACACGAAAGCTGTATGGGATTTCTAAGTGAAATCCAAATGGTCTTTAAACAATTTATGGGAAATGCATTTTATGAGAAAACTATGCAGGAACTTTTTTCAAATTTTTTGCACCACAATAAACTTATCTTTTAATTCCTTGCCCTTCAGCCTGCTTCCTGCAGCTTTTCCTAGACCATGCATATTTCAAATGAGGATTATTTAGGCCTCCCATTGCTAGATGAGAAAAGTAGTAATTTGGGAAATACTACAGAATTGGCTTCACTCAGAAATACATATTTCTAAATATTAAAATTGATTTATAAAAGACAGAAGTTTGCCACACGAGACAATATGTGAAAATCTGGACTGTAGTCCATGTAGTGTTCAATGGCAAGGCCAAACCTCAAACGCTTATTACGTGGATACCTCTTTCAATGGGAAAATTCCTCACCTATAGACGTTTCTGACAAAATGGGCACGTTTTGGACTAAAAGATTAAGTCACCGATGTTTGGATAAGAGCAGAGACCTGTCCCAAGAGCAGACAATCTTTAAGCCGGCAGAGACTTAGGAAACAGACTGGCAATGAAAGAGGAGTTAGACCAAGCATTCGTGTTCTTGTGCACCTGAAGTTGACAATAAGCAGTCCGACAGGGGGAAGCGAACAATCTGAAAGAATGAATGAAGAAGAGTTGGAGAGCCAGAGCAGGCTGCAATCATTTTCAAAACAGACATGGAGAAGAAGTGGGAAGGATACACGAGCAGAGGAAGCTGCGAGTAGGCAGAGTGGTGACAGGGGCAGATTTGCAGACGACGCAAGATGCTATGAGTGAGAGCCGGTAGCCAGCTCATTGCAGAGACAGGAAGCGCAGCTCTGCCCTTAGAGTCCTCTGTGCCCAGTAGCTCTCCATTTCCAGTTCATGAGACTTTACCAGAGTCTCTTTTTCTTAAGGTATCGTGGAGCAATCCCTGTTCTTGGCAAATGAAGTATAAAACTCTGATACTATTTTGCAGTGAGTCATAGGAAATCACTGATGTTAAGGAAGGCCTATAGTTCCACACAATCACATAGGGACAGCCCTGGCTGGCGCCAGAGACTCAAAGAAAAAAGATGTTATTTTATGGGCAGAAACAGACCAGAATATTTCTCCCTCACCAAACCAACTTTGGCTTTCAAAATGGAAACAAGAATTTGGAGACTGAGAGCCAAGGTTCGGCAGCACATATTAGGACGAGTATCACTTCTAGATAATGGTAGAATGTTGATATTCTCGCTATAATTACGCCCATACTCGTATGCTTAGATTATTTGTTCTAGAATATCCATTAGTAACATTCTATCAATATATTTAAAACATCAGAGTCTTTTTTAGTGTCATCTGTTTTTAGCATTTTAGGACACGAAAAAAAAAAAAATTCCGCGCTGTCCAGATCTGACTACAGTCTGTTCATTTCACAGCGCCAGAAATGCTTCCTCAGCTCACCGCTCTCATTTCTAGCCACTAACTTCTAGGGAGAACGTTGGCTGTCTGCTGAACAGCTGTGTTCACGCCTGCGTGTCTGCTCACCGTTTGTATGCACAGCTCCTTCCCCCTCCCCCATTTGAATACAGTGAGCTGTTCTAGGTTCTTCTCTGAGGACCAAAGTCTTGAGCTGCTTATGCTAGGTACTCCGCTCTTTGTGGTGTGGAGGTACCGAGGATTGGAAACAACATTTACAAAGTCAGGCGGTCTCATCTCCATCTGCACACCACTAGACTGCTGCCGCAGGCTTAGCTGCTGACTCTCACACTTGAATCTACCACAGGCCTCCATTCAAACACCAGCTGCTTCAGGGTGCCCTCCTATTAGACATCTCTATTTGCCTGGCTGTCCCCAGGCAATCAAAACTCAGTACGCCCCAAATTCACCATCCTACTCAGACTCACATTTCCAAAATCTCGGTTTTTATTATGAATTTTGTATCCCAGGCAAAAATTTCTAACCAGTCTCCTTTCTTTCTCATTACCTTTCAAGCGTTTTTCAAATTCTGTTGATATTATCTCCTAAAGTTTAATTTTTCTCTTCTTGAGGGAAACAAAGAATAGCAACCTGATAAAATTGTCAAGAATTAGAAAAAAGGAAAAGAATAGCAATGCAAAATAAAGGTCCATAAAGTCTGTAATGATGTCACTGCTTTTATTGTTAATATTTGTAATTAATGTTTTATTTCAGTTCATTAACTTTATTTTTTATTTATTTATTTTTTTTGACAGGCAGAGTGGGCAGTGAGAGAGAGAGAGACAGAGAGAAAGGTCTTCCTTTGCCGTTGGTTCACCCTCCAATGGCCGCCGCGGCCGGCGCGCTGCGGCCGGCGCACCGCGCTGATCCGATGGCAGGAGCCAGGAGCCAGGTGCTTTTCCTGGTCTCCCATGGGGTGCAGGGCCCAAGCACCTGGGCCATCCTCCACTGCACTCCCTGGCCACAGCAGAGGGCTGGCCTGGAAGAGGGGCAACCGGGACAGAATCCGGCGCCCCGACCGGGACTAGAACCCGGTGTGCCGGCGCCGCTAGGCGGAGGATTAGCCTAGTGAGCCGCGGCGCCGGCCTTAACTTTATTTTTTAACAGAAAAAATTTTTCTCACTTATTTTGTATCACTTTTCTGTTTTCATTTTCAAATGAATTGACTGCTGCTCTTTTTTTCAGTATTTCTTTCTTTCTGCTTTGCTTTTGATTTAATTGGCTCTTATTTTTGTAGTTTAATTAGATGGAATCTTAAGCTATAAAATTAAGAGTTTCTTTTTTTCTAATAGGAACATTAAATGCTTATAAGTTTCCCCTGAAGCATTGCTCCTGATCCAGCCCGCGTTTTGATGAGGCAATTTTCACTCATTACATTCAAAACATTTTCAAATTTCTATATTACTTCTTAAAATCATTTTTCCTCAACATTTGGAGATTTCCATATTTCTATTATTGATATCTAATTTAATTGCCATGGTCAGGAAATATACATGATTTCAATCACTGTATATTTGTTAATCTTTGTTTTATGGCTCAGAGTGGGGTCTATCTAGACAAATGTCCCACGTGCACTTGAGAAGAATGTGTAGTACTGCCAAGAGTGCTTTACGAATGTCAGTTAAATCACTATCACTGATAGTGCTGTTCAAGATCTTACATCCTTACTAATTTCCTGTCTACATGTTCTATAGATTAAAGGACAGTGTTGAAGGATACAACTACAATTTCCAGTTTTTTGTTTTCTTATTTTAGTACTATGTTTTACTTAAGGTATTTTGAAGCTCAAGTATTAGGGGCATACATACTTAGGTTTTGTATATGTGTTTGTCACTTGGTCTTTTTATCCTTAACTAATGTCATTTATGTATGAGTGGTCATGGTTGTGTGTCAATAAATTTTTTTTTTTTTATAAAAAGGCCTTGGTCCACAGGCCATAGTTTGTTGATGCTTAAAGTTGGAAACACACAATTTTAATTAACTACAGTCAATATTCTTTTTTAAAAAATTTATTTTGAAAGTCAGAGTTAGTGGGAGAGAGACGTTTCATCAGCTAGTTCACGCCCCCAGTGGCTGCAACAGACAGGGCTGGGCCAGGCCGCAGCCAGGAGCCAGGGGTTTCATCCAGATCTCTCACATGGATGGCAGGGGCCAAAATGCTCGGGGCATCTTCTACCATATGGCAGTATACTTACAATTTCTACCTCCAACCTTCTGTGCTGTTGTTATGCTTACATATATAATGCAAATCCACAATATTGTGACCAGCTTTGCACCTCCATTTTAACCATTGCTAGTATGCTTATTTCTTTATGTAGAATGAGTTTCTCACTCATATCATATTCCTTCTGCTAAAAGGATTTCCTTTAAAACTTCTTATAATGAAGGTTTACTGAGAATTCTGAAAAAGTCTTATTTACGACAGATATTTTCACTAGGGAGTGAATTTACTTGATAGGTTTCTCCTGCACCCCAAGCCTCAGCGTTTTAAAGATGTAACTTTATTCTCTTCTAATTTGCATAGTTCTCCACATGAAGTCTGGGTATTCTTTGTTTGTTCTATACAAAATGTGTCCTCCGTCCCCTGTCCAACTGTGAAACAGAATCTCTTATTGTTTACTTTCACCTAGAATATGTTTCTAGGTGCTTTCTTTCTTCTTTTTATAAATTTATTGCTTGAGGTTCTCTAAACTTCTTGGATTTGTGCTTTGATACCACTCACTGTTCTTTTCTATTATGTCTTCTGTTAACCATCCTGTCTTGTTCTCTTTATTATTCTTCTAGGATTCCATACATATAAGTTACACCCACTTAAAAGTGTTCCACAGCTTCTGACATTTTGCACTGTTTTATTTATTTCATTTTTCTTTCTCATTGTGTTTTGGTTTAGTCTATGTCTACTGACTTATTTCAAGTTCACTGATTTGTTTCCCCTTGATTGTGTTCAGTCTATCGATATGTCCATGAGAGAAATTTCTTATTTTGATTATCATGGTTTTTCATTTGTAGTATTACCGTTTTATTTTTTATAGTTTCCATCTCTTTGCTGAACTTCTCTACCTATTCATGTAGGTTTCTATTAAAGCTTTTAGAATTAATCATCATTTTCCAGGTTACTTCAGAAATGGGTTTTGATTTGCTATCTTTACCTGCATATTGGCCTCCCTTCAATCCCCCTTCTCAACTTCACCTTCTCCGTCCCCCTCTTTCCCTGCTTTCCTTAGTTTTTCAAAACAGTTCCTTGATAGTTCCAAATTCCTGGTCACTTCTGACCAGATTGTGATTTGATATTTCCTTTATGGCAAGGTTTTCAAATACACTTACAACTTCACAGATCCAATTTCTTTAACAGATATAGGACTATTTTGGCCTTTAATTTCTTCTTGAGTTAGTTTTGATAAATTACATTTTTCAAAGAATTCCTTCCTCTCTTCCCTTCTCATTTTCTTTCTTTCTTTGTATAATTACAGTTTGAGGTTGAAAGAAGCATACTGTGTGTAGCACAGATAAATAATAAATAACACTTATATCCAGAACGGGGCACACTTCTTATCTAATGGGTCTCTAGTGAGTTAGCATAAGGAAGTCCAATCAAGAGTCAGCTGGGTTTGGATTTTGTTGCTGTTGCTGTTAGCTTCAGTACACCTCCAGCTTCAAACTCTTTTCACATTATCTTGGGATTTGCATAGGGGCTGAGTTGCTAGAGGGGTTTTTATCCTCAGTTTTAGGCTTTCTCTTTGCACCTGTATCTCAGAGCAGGTCTCTCTCCCGAGCTTGTTGTTTCCCAAATGCAAATGATGGTTCTTGTTATCTGGTGCTTAGTGATTCAGTGTTGGGTGGGTGGGTGTGAGGGTGTGGTTTCTTAGGTCTCAAGGGGAAGGCTCCCTCAGTGCTCCTGTCCCTTCCCTTGAGGTGATACATCTTGAGGTTTGGGTCCAGGACAATTTCCTGTTTCTCCCTGATGTTAGAGGTTTGTTTTGCCTTTTTTTTTTTTTTTTCCCTTTTCATTTCCCTAAGCTGCAGTAGAGCCTCACCTGTTCACTGGGATGACAGAGTGATGTGTCAATGCCTTTGTTCTGCAGGTTAGAGGCATTTGAATGGAGCTTCCTGTCTTTCTTCCCACAACATCCATTCCTCCCTCCACACCTGCATCATTAAAGAAAACTTTGCTTGGTTTCCAGTCCTTCTGATGACCGCCTAGTGAATCCACAAAGAGTCTACATTTGGTGTTGAGCTCTTTGTGTCTGAAGCTCTCAGAACTTACATATTCTCGCATTATGCTACACGCAGTCTTTTTCAATTTGTTAAAAATGCAAGTGGATTTTCTTATTTACCATATGTGTACCAGCTAGTCATCATCTGAGGCCTTGCTCCTAGTGAAACTGCTTACATCCTGAATCAACTTGGAAGCAGTTTTCTTTTCTTAGGTTTCAGGCTAATTGGTTGATCGATGATCTCTACTTTCTGCAGGATTCATGAACATTCACAGTTTTGTAGATTATCTGGCCATTCTCTTGGTGTTAGATTGAGGGCATACTTTTTCCAGCTTTCTGTATCCTACACAGAAGACAGAAATCATGACCTTTCCTTTATGGTAAGATTTTTAAATTGCACTTGTAATTTCACAAATCCAATTTCTTGAACAGATACAGGACTACTTTTGCTTTTAATTTCTTCTTTAGTTTTCATAAATTACATTTTTCCAATAATTTGCTCATTTTTGTAAGTTTTAAATTATTGGCATAAGTTTTAATATCTTTTCAGGATATAAAAGATTAATATTTGAGTTTTAGTTTAATTCACTTATGTTTATTGTAATGAATGAGCTTGCATAAGTTGTCTATATTGCTATTTGCTTTTGATTTTTTCCATATTTACTCCATATCCTTATTTTTCTGAATAAAGGATATATTTATTCCATTATTTCTCTATTAGCATTTTAACTATAATTTTCTTTATTTCTAAAATAAAATACATTATTTTGCTATTAAGTTGTTTGAGTCTCATATATTTTGGATATTAACCCTCAGATGATGAATGGTAGCTTGTCTTTTAGTTTTGTTGTTTCTTTGTTGCACAGGAAGCTTTTCACTTGATGTTAGCCCACTTGTCTATTTTTGGTTTTGTGGCCTGGTGTAATTTAAAAAACAAAATCATTGCCAAGGTCAATGTCAAGGAACTTTCCCATGTTTTCTTTGAGGAGTTTTATGGTTTCAGGTTTTATGTCTAAGTCTTTAATGCACGTTGGGTTGATTTTTGTGTACGATATATGATAAGGGTCAAATTTTCTTCAATTTTCCCGTTACCATTTATTGAAGAGACTATTGTTCACCACTGCGTATTTTTGGTATCTTTGTCAAAAGTTAGTTGACTGTATATGCTTGTGTATACTTCTGGGCTCTCTATTCTGTTCCATTGCTCCACCATTTGGTCTTATCACAGTAGTAGCATATGATTTTGATTACTATAGCTTCCTAAGATAATCGGAAATCAGGAAGTATGATGCCTCCGACTTTGTTCTTTTTTCTCAAGATTGCTTTGACTAATTCAGGTCATTCACAGTTCCATATAAATTATTCTTGTCATTGGAATTATGATAGGGGTGGTATTGAACCTATAGAGTGCTTTGGGTAGTATGTACATTTTAACAATGTTAATTATTCTAATCAATAAGCACAAGATATCTTTCCATTTATTTGTTTCATCTTCAATTATTTGCATCATTTCACGGTTTTCAGTGTAAAGATCTTGGTTATCAATTATAAAGTTTATAAATGCTAATGACCATACTGAAATCCAGATCTCTGTATTCCTTAGAATGGCTAGCAAAGAGCAGATTAACCCCTAAAACATATTTATCAAATAAAATACTAACTTATTTAATCATATGTATTTTAATATGCATGTATTTGTAAGCCGAGGCTACTGGGGGCATTGCTGTTGAATTGTATCTGCCTTCTAGTTCATAAAACCACATCTCCAGAATCTGAATGCTTCATTATCATATCCCTTTTCTGTCTTTCCTCTGTCCACTAACCCTTAGAAAACAGTGAAAAAGTCTCTCTCCATTGTGACGTCACTTCAGCTACATTTCTGTTTTTAAGTAGGTATCTACAAATCACAATCACACAAAATAATGATGTACAGCCCTGGCCCTTAGTAGTTCTATTGGTTCATACCTAGAAACCTGGAAATGCAAAATGTGTCCTGTCTTGACTCAGGAATTTCAGGAGCGTGAAGGCCAGAGGGAACCCAGAATTCCTCAACCTTGAATGACGGGAATGAGAGGATGAGAACCCACTGGTGTGAGTGCAGTATGTGCTGTGTGTAAATGTTTACATCATCAGTAGACATCAATATTACTGATTTTTGTTTACAGACCTTGTAAGGGGAAAACAAGGAAAATCTTACTATGGCTGAAAAAAGAAGTCATTTAAATTAAATATCATCAGTCATCTTCATTATCTTTTATGTCAAACTTTGTATAGTACACTAACTTCTAGGCATATAAATAAATACCTCAGCAATTCCTAAATGTTACATTTCATTTTATTTGTTCATTATATGCACAGTCTTCATAATTTGTTGATCTTTTTTTGGTTAGCATCTTATGTACTCACAGCTTTGAAAAAGAGAAATATTATTCCTGACCTCTTTAATAAATGGGCTTATAGATCATAGTATATTGGTACCACAAACTGCCTACTGAACTGGCAAAGTGAAATTTAAAGGAAAAATAGGCATTCACCTGTTACCTAATAAAGCGTGGGTCATTACTTTGTAGAAGTCATCACTTTTCCACATCTGTTCAGCCACTTCACATAACTAATGGAAGTACATAATGGAGAGCCTACATACGCAATTACATTATTAATAAAAGAAAATGCAAAAATAATATCTATAATCAAGATAGCCTATTTAAAAAAAATAAAGATCTCATCCTGTTGCTTCTCCTCTCAGAACGAATCCGCAGCAACATCGTCCTTTAGAAGTAATAGAGTATTTTAAAATAAGGTAGGTTTTTGGAACCCTTTCTTTTGGAAAGAAAGTTGGCTGTGCCTTGCCTGGTAGCTGTTCCTCCAAGTCAGTCGTCAGCAGGGAAGAGGCGTGCTGATGCTTCCTCCTCTGAGGAATTCCTAGAGGAGCGTCCTCTCTATGGCCAACCAGCTTTGTTGCAGGGTGGATAAGCCTATCCCAGCCTGGTGCTGTTTCAGAAACTACCCACCTGGAGAGGGAAGGCTTATCCTCAACACTAGCCTTTGTCAATATAAAAGCAGTATTTTGCTTCTCCATCTGCTAACTCTTTTGCTTCATAGGTTGGTTCAAAACTTTAATAGGGAAGAGAGTTGCTATTTATTTAACTTTCTCAAAGATCTTAGTACAATAGGTAGAGTTCCAACTCACTCTAGGATGGGAGAAAGAACAATACTGATCAAATGTGACAAATATGACATAACTCTTATTCAATGCCATCCTTTAAAAAAATGTTTTGAGGTACAGAAAACCAATTAAGTGACTGAATTGGAGAGAAATCCAGGCTCAGCGCTCTATCAGGTAAATGCAAATTGCCTTTCTTTTTCCATTATAAAATACTTTTTTGACCAAAAAGAAAAATGTTCTTTCCTAAGCCATGAAGGTTAACTTTGGCAACACACTAAAACTTTAATTTGGTATTAGATGTCAAAGTAGGAAGTGAACTTTAGTTTTTTGGCTCCTCCATTTTTGAAATGGCAAGTTACCTTTATAGGTTGGGACAGTGTCCAACTTTCCTTTTATAACTTGTTTTCTCTCCAAAGGCTGGACTATTGCCACAGGCTGCACTTTATAAGATTTAAAATCCCGTTTATAGGTGGTACCAAGATCAATCTTCCCTTGTTTGGGTTTATATTCTTCTGGTACACGGCAAGGCTGTTTGACTACTTCATATGGACGATAATCCGATCTGAAATATAGAATTTTGAAACATGGCCTCACAGCTTCTTTTATTTCTAATTATTTTAATGCAATATTGAAAATTTCAAGTTTTTTTTTTCTTGAAAGTCTTGGACAATAGTAAAATGATAATAGATTAAAAGATAATTAAAAGAACTAACTGAATTCCTCTGTAAGTTTTTATCTAGTGACTAAATAGCTTGTCAAAAATTCCAGTTTTAAAAACATCATTACAATAGATCTTCAGTTAATTGGATCTTTATTTTTATTATTATTTTTTTATTTTTTTGACAGGCAGAGTGGACAGTGAGAGACAGAGACAGAGAGAAAGATCTTCCTTTGCTGTTGGTTCACCCTCCAATGGCCGCCGCGGCCGGCGCGCTGGCGCACTGTGCTGATCCGATGGCAGGAGCCAGGTGCTTCTCCTGGTCTCCCACGGGGTGCAGGGCCCCAGCACTTGGGCCATCTTCCACTGCACTCCCTGGCCATAGCAGAGAGCTGGCCTGGAAGAGGGGCAACCGGGAGAGAATGCAGCGCCCCGACCGGGACTAGAACCCGGTGTGCCGGTGCCGCAAGGTGGAGGATTAGCCTAGTGAGCCGCGGCGCCGGCCTTAATTGGATCTTTAATAAATAAAATCCTCAAGTAATTGACTTTGTGTAACCTGGAAGGAAATCTCAGGTGCAAGTTTTAATGAATCCATAAACATTAAAACGTATATCCTTCTTGGGTCTACTTTATCAAAATCTTTCTTAATCCTACTTGAGGATTCTAGTAACTATTTGGTATACTTTATTCTGACTGAATAATGCTGTCTTCCTGTTCATTGTTAAATGATCAGTAACTCCACCTTTAAGACATAAATCACAGTCATCGTATGGCTATGACTCCAATACATCTTTGGGTCTCCTGAAGTCTTTGCCATGGAAGGCAGCCAGAGGGTACTGTAGTAGCCACACGGGCATTATAGAACATTCCGAGACAGAGGCAGGACTGCCAGCAATGAAGTAGTCTGCCGGAACAACAAAGATGATAGCCCAGACTGATCAGACTGCCTGGCTCCAAATCCTGGCTCTGCCATTCACTAGCTGCATGCCTTTGGATAACTTGGTTACTCTGTCTATGCCATAGTTTCCATATAGATGAGATACCATTTACATCATAGGGTTGTTTTAGGGATACATTCATATGAGCACATGCTTAGGGCAGTACTTGGTGTATAGAAATATGTCAGCTACTACTGTTACTACCCCAAGTTTTCAAATTGCTTTTTCTTCTGGACTCTATTGGCTGTCACTCATTTGTGACTAAAGTATCTCGTATGAAGTCAGTGTTCACTGTGTATGTCCATAACCTCCAATAGCAAAACAAAAGCTCACTGAATCCCTTCTCTTCACAACATAACTTCTTGGGCTGGTTGATTCTATTTTCTCACCCTCTTCAATCCACTTCAGTCTGGTTTCCAGCATTGTCACGTCTCTAATACACTCTAAGGTGCAGAATGACTTCTGTGAGATTAAACTCACTGGGCACTTTTAGTCCTCATCGTACTTGACCTCTCCAGAAGTAAATGATAGCACAGTTCACTTCATTTCCAAGAAATTCTCTCTTCCTGCCTTCCCGATTTCTCCTCAGGTTCCTATGCAGCTTCCTCCACCTCTGTGCAATCATTACATGCATGCTGGAGTCCCTCAGCCTTGGACCTACAGACTCCTCTCATCTAACGCTTTCTCAGAACTCTGCTCTCACACTTCATTTGTATTCTGCCTACATGGAAGTGACTCTCACGCTGACCTCTCAGCAGCTTAGATCTGTTCTCTGGACTCTGTATCAGAGCTCTTGGATAGTCAACATCACCTCAAAACTCAAAATGCCCCAAATAAAACTTACATGATCCGCTCCCTCAACAAGTCTGCTCCTTTTTGCAGCTCCCTGCTATAGGGAATGGCACGCCATTCCTCAGTTGTATAGTCAGAAACCTAGGACTCGGGCATTATCTTCACTCTCCCTATCTAGGCCATCATTAACCCCCAGCAATTCTGTCTTTTAAATCTCTCTCATATCAACCACGTTTTTCCAACTCTGTCACCACTATCATATTCAAGCTTTAATAACAGCTCATTTGAACCACTCCAATAGCTTCCTAAACTCACTCACCTACATCAATCCTAGTCCCCTCTCCTATCTTTTTTCCCCACTGTACTCAATTCTTTCACAGGAAAATCTGATCAGGTCATTCTTGCCCTCATCTCCTTGCTTCCTCCTCACCCACTCCTAGCCCACTCCCAACAAACAAACAAAACCGGAAGAAAAACTCGCAATGGCTTCTTCCTGCTGTAAGCTTACAGACAACACTGAACATGGTCTCAGGGTGCGGCCCTGCCTCTCTCACTAGCCTCAACTCATACTGTGCTTCCTCTTGCTCCAGCAGTTGGCCGTTTATTTATTTAGAGAATTTCCTACATGCTGCTTCCTGCTACGTTACTTTCTCCGCCTCAATGCACATCCACCCTGTTAATCCAGCTAACCACTTAACATCCTTCAAGTGTTGGCTCGTTTTTCTAATTTCCCTGATAAAGTCAATTCTCGTGTTCTGGCTGCTAAGGTAGTTTTACCTATTTTTCATAATTTTTACCAGTGCGGCACTTTTGTATTTTGAGTGGCTCTTTAAAAATTGTCAACCCCTCCCTGGAGCATAGTGTCTGTGAGCACAGAGATCATGACTGGCATAGTGCCGGGTGCTTGATAAATGCTTAATATTTATGTAATGGGTAATAGCAGAAATCGCATACCTCAGCTTCTCAAGACACCTGAGCTGTCCTTTACTCCTCCCCAGTACCAGCTAGAGAACAGACTAACATGCAATCAAGGAGGGGGAGAATCCAGCGGAGAACAGAAAGAAAGCTCACAAGTCTCAGTTCCCCTGATTAGACCAGCTAAGGAGCAGAAATCCTACCTCCACACCCAAAGCAACCTTCTATAGAGAAGTGCAAGGCGAATGCAGCCTTATTCATCTGATTTACCCTGAAATGACTGATATATCCAGAACTTAATCCTTCAGGGCAGACTTCCTGCCAACACGGACAGTCATCTAAGCGGGCTGCAGCTGTAATGCTCTGAAAGACCCTAAGTCCTAGACAGTTTCAGACATCTGTTCTTTATTGTTTCTTCTTGCATTATAATAGTATAGATTGACACCTTATTCTTTGTACAGATAAATAAGCCTTCTACTCCTAGACAGCCTGGTCAACATAGGGTAGTCAAGAAGAAGAGTTCCAGGCCTCTGGGTCTCAACTCTTAGAAATGCTGCTGGTTTCCTAGTCAAAACACAAAGAGGAGTTCCAGTGTATTACTAGTTGGAGGAATGGCAACTGAAGAAATGGAATTTTTAGCTTTACTGGGATATTTGGATCTTTGCCATTTGGAACTTTTTGTTTTCTTTTTCAACTATTAAGGGCTACTTGAACAAGACCACTGGGAAAACTCAGAAATGAAAAACAATTATCAGAAAAAAATATGGTAGGTTGGGCCGGCACTAAGGCATAGTGGGTAAAGCAGCTGCCTGCAGTGCCAGGGGCACCGGCTCGAGTCCCGGCTGCTCCACTTCCGATCCAGCTCTCTGCTATGGCCTGGGAAAGCAGAAGAAGATGGCCCAAGTCCTTGGGCCCCTGCACCCACATGGGAGACCCAGAAGCTCCTGGCTCCTGGCTTTGGATTGGCCGTCATGGCCAACTGGGAAGTGAACCAGGTGGAAGACCTCTCTCTCTCTCTCTCTCTCTCCTTTCCTTCTCTGTGTAACTCTGACTTTCAAATAAATAAAATCTTTAAAAAAAAAAAGGTAGGTAAAAGTTTCTTAATTTTAACATTTAAAACTGCTGACAAGGAAATATATTTAGTTTTGTTTTTAAATATGAATATTCTGAGAATTATTTCAAATCTCTATTATAAGTCAGTAAAGGCACAAAAGAAACAAATTAAGGTGAAGGGGGAAAAAAGTTTGCTCTATCTCAACTAGTTGTTCAATTTGTTTACCTCTTCTCCTGAAACCTATCATTATTTTGGATTTTCACACTTTCAGATTGTATGAAAGTGTACTGAAGTCTGAGGACTATGGAAAATCTTCAAATCTGTGGAAGAGTGACAAACTATAGAAGTAACTAGAGTTATCAACACAATGTTACTTCAAGGTTTTCCAGAAACGGTAAAAGTAGAAATGCTAATTGCTTGAGTGTCCACTTTTGCTTTGTAAGTGGGAAGAGCTCTAGATGAGAAAAATGGAAGGAATGAGGCTAAGGAAGAAAGCTATAAGCGACATTCAGAGACCTCAGATGGATATTCTGAGATGTGAGTGCAGTGACGCAGTACTTCGATTTACTTGTCTCTCTGTACTTAATGCCTAAGATAGTGTCTTGAATATAGTATACACATGAACGGTTTAAATAAAATGATAGAAGAATTGACCAAGTTGCAAAGTATGAAGAGATAAAACAAAAAAACTAGTTCCACATGAAAAGTTTAAATAAGCTTAAGAGGATTTTTGGTTTTCATCTCCTATAAAATTACTGGGTACCTACTATGTGCTAGTAGGCATTGTACCAGATTTCTGGAGGGAAAAAGGCTGAGATAATATAAGACTTAGTTCTTATTTTCATGACACACTGTACTAAGCTAGTGACAAATCACAAAAAGGTGCTTTGAGAACTCACACAAATTGTACCTAGTCTAACACTGGGTGAGGGGTCAGAGGTGACTTTTCCCAGGGATAACTGAGTTGTGATCTACAGATTAAATGGCTGTTAACTAGGGGAAGTGGGAAGAAAAAGTCCAGGCAAGGAAAACAGCATCCTAGGATGCTTTTAATCAAGTGAAATCTGGCACTTTCAAGCAAATAAAGAATGAATGGCTTATGCTGTGGGAACGAAATACAGTGAAAAGGGCATTGCAATGAAAATAAACTAGGAAAGCAAGCAGGGAACAATAATAAAGAGATGCTGGACAGGAGTTCTATGTTAAACATATGGGAAAGTTTAAGCGCATTTCCAAGCAAGGAAGTGATAGGATTAGATTTGCATTTTTAAAAAGATCATCTTGGCAGGCTAAATCATTGAAAACAGACTCTAGATGAAAAACTAGAGTAGATACAGATACCAGGAAGCTACTGCATTCCTCCAGGCAGGTGATGGGGGAAAGCAGATAAATATAAGACATTTTAGGAGGTTAAAAAATAAACAGAACTTTTAATTTCCCCCTACTCACTCTTTGTCAACTGAACTTAATTTTCATCTTTCCAATTTTTCTCAAGTTGTGACTTAACTACTTTCTTGCTTTTTGGATTGACCCAACTTAAATCACTAAGCCATTCAATTTAAATATTAGAAACCTTTAGTCCAGATGAGTTGGGAGGGAAATAAGTAAAGCAAATAGTTGCCCAATATTTACTTAAATGTAGTTATTCCTTCCATTTTCTCTCGGCATGCGCGGAATTCTTGCTTGGGTTTAAGACTTTGAGGTGGAAGAATATTGCCATGCATAGGATATTTTTCCAAATATTCAGTTGTGGGGCAAGATACGCCAGAATTTTCATAAATTCGCGTGGTTCCATGTGGACAATGGTGCCGCCTGTACAAACAAACAAACTGAAAGATTATTTTTCCTTAAAAAAAATCGTGTAGTAATTACATTTTAATCAGAGGCTTCTAAAACTCAGAATCTATTTTATTTAAAACAACTTTATTTTTTGAAAGTTAAAGAGAAAGATATAGATATAGATTAGACATAGATATAGATATATAGCTATCCCACTCACTGGCTCACTCCCCAAAGGCCCACAAGAGTTAAGGGCTGAACCAGATTGAAAGCAGAGCCAGGAACTCAGTCCAGGTTTCTCATGTGTGTGGCAGGCAACCAACGACTTGAGCTTTCACCTGCTGCCTCCCAAGGTGAGTATTAGCAGGCAGGTGCACTCAGAAGCAGAGCTAAGACTAGAAATAAGTCCTCTGACATTGGATGGCATCTTAACTGCTGCGGACATCCATCCCAGAATCTCTGAATTTTTAGGGCAGCTTTGTTAAGATACAACGAAGTGTTTCCTCTGCAGCGGTATCTTCAGAAACAAGGAATATATTACAGAGAATCCTTTTGTGGTGGAAGTCCTGGTTGTGCTCTTACCTAACTGTCTTGTTGTAGCACAGAAGCTGCAAACAAATGAACTGCCCAGATCTGTTCCAGACAGGGTCCATGTGCAATTTACATTTCACCTATTACAAACAGTCACGTAAGATTTTTGAATCAGAACAGAGCTACATAGAAAGAGAGGTAGCATATAACGTCCATTCTGCTTGCATAGACTGTGGTACAGGCAAAGCACAAGGAGCCAGCAGTTGTCCAGATTTGCAAGGTGGTTTGGCAGCTTCCTGGCCTCGGCAGGAGTGGGTGAGTTCTGGAGCTTACAGCTCTTGCAGTTTTCTGATTGTGGCAGAAGCAGTGGCTCTCCTGGCAGTCCAGTGCTGTGCTGTAGTGAGATTTCTGGGAATGTTTCCTGGAAGCTTATTTTGAAAATGGCTTTAGTTTTTCCAACTGAACTATATATACTCCTTAACAAATTCCTTTTTGCCTAAACTAACCAGAGCATATATATGGCTATTTATGTTGCCCATAACTAAAGCCCCTGAACAAAGCTATCAGTTGTTGAAGAGAATAATGTGGTCATTGGAAGATGGCAAGACTTAAAATAGAGAAAAAAAAATGTGCTGTAGCAGAGTACACGCAGGTAAAAGTGATCCTGAATGAGATGCATATGCTTTGTAGATGAATCGCAACCTCTTAGGATACTGGGCTCAACGAACCCTCAGGAATAAAACAAGAGAAATACATTTTTAGAGATTGCTGGACAAGCAGAAAAACTGCAGTACAGAAAGAGTGAAGAGGTGGCGTCAAGGATGTCCTGGAAACTTCAAAGTCAGGGGAGTCAAAAGACTCAAGAACATCAACGTGGAGCCTGTGGGAAAGTGTACCTGGTCCAGGACTTGGAAAATTAGATGCAGGGTATGCGGTTCTAACAGGTACAGGCAGGTTCTAATGTAGCTGCACCGAGTCACGAAAATCAAGTCAAAGCTCTCAAATTTCTCATTGATTCTAGTTTTATTTTCCATCAAAGCAATACATTTACAGACTTCACAAATCGCACAGTGCTGAAGAGTTAGGAAAGAAAGCAAAAGCCTCCTGTGTTCACATTTCCAGCCCCCACAGCAACCTACTGTGCTTCGCTGGGCATCACATCTGTGACGCTTGTTTACGGACTCAGAACATCCTGACTTATCGAGCTGCACCGCCAACTTTTAAATCTTAACATAAACAATGTTTAATTTATACCACGTCTGTTTACTTTCTGTTGTATGGGAACGCATTCATTCAGCAAGTGCTTAATGAGTAACAACTGTGGCATAATTTTGGAGATAGAGCTATTAGGAAAGAAAAAGCAAAAACTTCATCTTCTCCTTGAGCATTCCTGTGGGGGGTGTGGAGGAGGTGGGGAAGCCAGCAACAAACACAAAAATACATATTATATCACATCACAGCACAGCACAGCACATCACATCACATCATAAGCACAATGTGAGGAAAAAATGAAGCCAGGAAGTGAAAGAGTGTGAGTGGGGAAAGAAGGCTGCAATTTGGGCAGTGTGACATCTGCGTAAAGATCTGGCCAAGGAAGTTCTATTCTTACTGTAACTTGATTATATATGTATCTTAAACAATACACTGAACACTGAAACTTTTTTTTTTAATTCCACTAACTTTAAACAGCATTTCTGGATGCCTGCCTTTGCAAGATGAGCCCATTAATTCCCAGATACTTTAACTCTCCTACTTTGTAATATGATGGAGAAAAATTAACTCTTAAATATTTTCTACTTCCTTTTCACATTCCACTGCTTGCTATCCATTTTTACATATGATTATATATTTCTACTTTATTTAGGTTTTGCTTTTCAACACAACCAAAGTGCGACTGACCAAACCCCCTCCCCCCCGTGCCCCCACCATCTTGGAAATATTGTAAACGCAGTACACTGTGTTTCCATTACCATGGCTATGAATATTGTTTAATTCTGGGTTCTTTAATGTGCTCACAAAGGTACTCAGAGTGGAGGATTCCTACCTCCTTCTTCTCTTGCTGCTGGGAAGTCAGATCAGAGCCTCACTCCGGCCCTGTTGAGCAGACAGGTTTCCATGTGTACTTCGGAACTTGAGTATAACTTCTCTTAACTGTCAATGTTCCTTCACCTCTCCTTCTTCTCAAAATCTCTTGAAATGTCATCTGCTAGTAAATCCTCCTTTCATTTCCTTCAGTAATATGGGCTTATTTCTACCTGGGTTTTTATAATTGCATTTCCCCAGATCTTGGGGAAGGAATGAAGAAGTAAGTTCTTCCGATTCGCCATCACAGGCAGGCGCCACCGTGTGCTTTCCTGTCCTGTTAAACGTCATCCTGTCTCCTGCCTCCCTCCAATCTCACCTAAGCCTTCTGAACAGGTTCTCAAAGAAAGCTGGTTACTGCTGCAAAGCTTCATTTCCCCCAGTCACCCCACAACTCTGTTTTCAGAAATAAAATAAAATAAAATTCCATCACAGTTTAATTTACATGAAAAATGGTATATACTCCTTGAAGAGGACAAAGATGCTAGAGATGTAGGAAACCATTCAGTAACATAGTGTGAAAAAAGAGAGCCTCAACAGGAAACTGACCACGCAGCAGAAGCAGGTCAAATCCTCCTCATGAGGTCATGACCATCCAGAGCCTGCCGGAGAGAGGCGACTTACTGAAATGTCAACGAGCCCTTCTACCTTATCCCCCCTCTTCATTCCAGTCAGGTAGCCAGGACCTTTGCACTCATATTTTCTCAGTGCAGGGCTTTGGTAGGGTGGAGAAGAAAAGCTATCTGAAGCCAACACATTTTCCCGTCATTAAACAAAAACATTTATGGGAGAAATGAAATCAAGTGTTCCTAAGGAAGGAGGTGGTAGGCAGTTGTCTTCTAAGGACTAAAGAGGAAACAAATGGTCCCGGATCACAAAAAGAGGAAGAAGTAAAGATCTCCCCAGCACACCGAGAAAAGGGGTGAAAGCTAGGGGGCTGTCGGGAGGGGAGAAGGTGGTCTATGCTCCAGCCTATGTCAGCGTCCCAGGAGGCAGCCAGATCTCAGAAGGGTTCATTGAGTCCAGGTCTCTCGCAGTTCCCAACTTTGCCAAAGATTCTTGCACCTCAAGGATAAGCCTGGAAGGAGCGAAGGCGTCACTCTCAAAGGACACACATGAACTTCAATAAAGGACATTTCTGCGGACATCGCTCCCCGTGTGCTACGCCCAGAGGCGACTCTTCTTGCGCGGAGACTGTCTTAACTCCCTGGACCACTAAACTGAGGAAAGTGGAGTCGCTAACAAAATGAAGACTGAAATTTCATGACCACTGCACGGTAAAGGAGCTTGGGTTGCCTTCAAATTAATTTAAGAGTAGGCAAAAATAAATAAATAAATAAAAAATAAAAAAAAACAAGCAATTTTTCTTGTACACCGGAGTTGGTAGATTCATACCTCAAAGGGTAATTTCCCTGTTAACCTACATCTAGTTACAAACGATGTTTATTAAGAGACTGGCAGAGAAACTGCTTTCCACCACCCTTGGAGAGCATTCCCAACGTAAGGATATTTTCAAAAAAGTTCATGAGAAATGCATCTCATGAAAAAGAAGATGCATGGACTTCAGAGTTTTGTTCTGCATCAAAATCAACTTTTTTTTTTTTTTGACAGGCAGAGTGGACAGTGAGAGAGAGAGACAGAGAGAAAGGTCTTCCTTTGCCGTTGGTTCACCCTCCAATGGCCGCCGCGGCCGGCGCACCGCGCTCATCCAGTGGCAGGAGCCAGGTGCTTCTCCTGGTCTCCCATGGGGTGCAGGGCCCAAGCACTTGGGCCATCCTCCACTGCACTCCCTGGCCACAGCAGAGAGCTGTCCTGGAAGAGGGGCAACCGGGACAGAATCTGGCGCCCCAACCAGGACTAGAACCCGGTGTGCCGGCGCCGCAGGCGGAGGATTAGCCTAGTGAGCCGCGGAGCCGGTTTAACTTGTCTTAATTCCGTTTTCCACGAACCTGTCCTGATTTATTTAGCAAACAATGAGCTAATCCCCAGGGCAGCAACCGCGAGCGGAGGAGGAAGTGAGTGTGTGGGCGGCACTGAAGGTTGTCCCCGCGGCCGCCACGGACCCAGGCCGGTGTGCAGGGCGGATCCCGCGGCGGCGGCGCCTGGCCGGGAATGGGGGTGGGAGAGGGGCACGGAAAGCTGGCAAGGTGAGAAGGCGCGACACGGCTGCAGAGTTACACCTGGTGCATCATGTCCCTGTTCACGATTAATTTATTTATTTGAAAGGCAGAATTAACAGAGAGCGAGCGAGCGAGCGAGCTACGGAGATCGATCGTCCATCCGCTGGTTCACTTCCCAGGTGGCCGCAACGGCCGGAGCTGAGCCCATCCGAAGCCAGGAGCCAGGAGCTTCCTCCAGGTCTCCCACGCGGGTGCAGGGGCCCAAGGACTTGGGCCATCCACCACTGCTTTCCCAGGCCACAGCAGGGAGCTGGATCGGGAGCGGAGCAGCCGGGACTGCAGCCCCCGTCGCGCCACAGCGCCAGCCCCGCGGTCCTTTTCAATCCTCTGCTGCTTCCTCTCGCGGTCGGATCTGATCCCGCTGCTGACCAGCCTGACCACTGATAAACACTCTACTCTCTACCCGGCAGTGGGAGAGGGCGAACGTCCCTGGACCGGGGTCCGCGAGAACGGCGGGCGCCCTGCGAGCCCCTTCCCCGGAGCGGGGACTCCCGAGCAGCCGCGTCCGTCCATCGAGGGCCCGGCCCGCCCCACACTAGCGTTTTCTTACCCGCAGGTACAGATCTGACAGAGACACCAGGTTCTCATGCTCCCGGCTCGCGCGACCTAGGCGCTCGCCAGCTTCTCCTACCACTTCAGCCGTCGTCAAGGCAACCGCGGGATTTCCCGGGAGACGGACGCGGCGCGCTTCCGGGGACGTCAGAGGCGCGCGCCCGGGTCAAAGGGTACGCGTCGGCTCGCCCCGCCCCGCCGGCGCGCGGGTGTTCGGGACTTGACGGAGCGTCCTCGACGGACTGAGGGTGGGAGTGCGGCTGGCCAGACGGCGGGAGACGGTGAGTGCGAGCCCGCGCTCGGGGCTTGGCGCCCTCCGCGGCCAGCCCGGAAGCCGTGCTGGGGGACCCGGCTCGGGGCGGGACGGGACTTGGCGCGAGGGGCGAGCCCAGGTGGGGAGCGGCCATCTGCCCGAGCCCTCGCTTGCATCGCAGCCCCGGGGGGTCCGGGAGTGTGCAGTGGAGGGCTTCCTTCGGGAAGGCAGGAAAGACCCGCTGCAGTGCACCTGCTGGGCCGGTCAGCACGTGGCCCCAAACTTTATTCCGGCTGGCAGGTGTGCGCAGTCGCGAAGCCGCTGGCTGTCCACCTCGGGTGGCCGCGAGCGAGCCTGGGACAGGGAGGGTCGTGGAGGAGCTTGGAGCCGGGGAGAGAGGCCGGCCGGCCTCTTCCCTCCCGCGGACACTCCCCTGTCCCGCAGAAGCGCGCTCGGGCAGAGTCCCCGCACCCGCCCGGCGTGACTCAAGGCTGACGGACAGCCCAGGGGCGGCGCGGCGGAGAACCTGACCTCCGCGCTCGCCCCGGACTTGGGCCCGGCCCACCGAGCGCCATCCGTCAGGGTTCTTAGTTGAAAGACTCCGAGACGTCTCCTGGGCTCTCAGCATTTGCATTACTTTTTCCCTTTGGCCCCTACTTCTCACCTCGTGGAACCCCCTCTCCCCCACGGCCCGTCTTGTAATAGGCTTTGAATTATGACCCACAGGCACCGAGGAACCATGGTGCTCAGTAGCCTGGAGAAGATGATTCAGCTGCAGAAGCGCACTGCCAACATCAGGAACATCTGTGTGTTGGCCCACGTTGACCACGGTGAGACTCCTTTCCCGCTCCGCGGCCAGGCGGGCGCGTCGCAGCGGAGTGAGGCTGTGGACAGTTCGCGGGAGGGGATGCAAGTCTTATTGCTTTTTTTTTTTTTTTTTAAGATGTATTTATTTCTTTTTAAGGCAGAGTGACAGAGGGAGAGGGAGAGAGAGAGAGAGCGAAGTCTTTCATCCGCTGGTTCACTTCCCCAATTGGCTGCAACGGCCAGAGCTGCGCTGATCCAAAGCCAGGAGCTTCTTCCCACGTGGGTGCAGGTGCCCAAGCGCTTGGGCCATGTTGTACTGCTTTCCCAGGCCACAGCAGAGAGCTGGATCGGAAGTGGAGCAGCCAGGACTTGAACCGGTGCCCATATGGGATGCCGGCACCACATCCTGCGGCTTTATCCACTATGCCACAGCGCTGGCCCTTCTTATATCTTTTTACAGCTTTTTGTGTGATGTCAGAGAAGCATGCTGTAAAGCATTTGAAATGAATTCACTTACCTGATGGTTCATTCTGTGTAGCATATCAGATTTTCTTTTAAACCAGAACTTGAGTTTTTGTTAAAATAGAAAAATTTTTTTCTGATTTTTTTTTTTACTTATTTTTAAAGATTTATTTATTTATTTGAGAGTGACAGAGGGCGAGCTCTTCTATGCACTGGTTCACACTCCACGTGACTGCAGTGGGACCAGGAGCTTCATCTGGGTCTCTCACACGGGTGTCGGGCACACCTGGGCAGTCTTTCCCTGTTTTTCCCAGGCCATTACCAGGGAGCTGGGTCAGAAGTGGAGCAGCTGGGTCAGGAACCACTGCCCCTATGGGATGCTGGCATCGCAGGTGATGGCTTAACATGCTATGCCACAGTGCCAGCCCCTATTTTTTTAAATTATATGTATGTATGTGTGTGTGTGTGTGTATGTGTATATATATATAGTTCGTTTGCTTTTTGAGACAGGGAAGATAGAATTCACATCCCACCAGCTCACTCCTCAAATGCCTGCAAAGAGCCGTGAGCAGGTGCTAGGAGCTAGGAATTCAGTCCAGGGCTCCCATATGGGTAGCAGGGACCCAATCACCCGAGCCGTCACTGCTGTCACCCAAGTCTGCATTAGCAAGACTGGGATGAAGAGCCGGAGATGGGACTTGAACCCAGGCAGTCTAATATGAGATTCAATTTTAATCACTACACCAAATGCCCAGGCTTGGAAAAAAATTTTAAATAGCTCTGTTTCTAAAATGTCTATAGTCTTGGAGCCTGTATTATGTGTTCCTGTTTAATTCATCAGATATTTATTGAGATCTGCCAAGTTCAAGGTATTTTGCCTGGGATGTCATTAGGTAGAAATTTATGAGTGGAACAGCAGTCCAGCTGTTGAGGCGGTCTTGGGGTAAGGCCTGGGGAAATGAGAGAGATCTGTGAGAAAAACACAGCCTGTAAGGGTTGGGCATGCTTGATGATTGGGGAGCTAGGGGCCTATTAAGTAAAGGCTTCATAGCTAAAGATGACCTTTCGGGGGAGAAGGAAACATGTGGCCGAGGCCCATGGCTCTGGAAGGTCAGGAATAGCTAACGTAGCTGTGTGGACTCTTGATGGCTGTAGCAGTACTTCTTGCTAAGCCTGCTGGGGTTTCTGACTGCTTTGTAGTTTGGGTAGCCACCGCACAGGGACGGGAATGAGCGTGTGAAGTAAAACCTGTTTATCATCCTGAAGGTGAGGATAGGCTGGGCCATAGCTCGGGGAGCTCTGCGTGTAAGATCAAATGCTCCAGCTCTGGACTTAGGCGAGCTGGGTTCAGAATTCCGTTTTCAAGTTGTTTCGTCTTGTGGAGCTTCACTGTACAGCACCTGTAACATAGTCTGAAGACCAAACCTACCTGTAGGCTGGGAAGATCACGCGTGATGATAATGAGAAGCCCTTGGCAGGAAGATAAATGCTTCATCATGAAGAGGATCATTAACACTTTTTATGAGGCAATAGGAAGCCATTGGGCACTGAAAATAAAGCATGGGAATGTGGTCAAGTAGTGTATTAGAAAGGTGAGGGCCAGTGTTGTGGTACAGCACTTTAAGCTGCCTGCAGTGCCGGCATGCCATCTGGGTCCCGGTTCAGGTCCCTGCTGCTCGGCTTCCCCTCCAGCTCCCTCCTAATGGCCTGGGAGAGCAGCGGAAGATGGCCCAACTGCTCGGGCCCCCGCACCCACGTGGGAGACCTCAGTGAAGTTCCTGGCTCGTGGTTTCTGCCTGGCCCAGCCCTGGACATTGCGGCTATTTGGGGAATGAACCTGCAAATAGATCATCTCTCTCTCTTCATCTCCCCCGACTCTGTAACTCTGTCTTTCAAATAAAATAAAAAGAATCCTTTTTTAAAAAATGATTTGGCTGGTAGGAGTGCTTAGGAAGGAATGAAAGGCAGATAAGAGGTTAGGTGGCTGTGCTATCAATAGAACAGTGAAGGGAAAATGTGTAGGGGCAGAAAGAGATAATAGGTCACTTTCTAGGAGAAGCCAACTGAGAATCAATGTTATGTAGAAATCCAGTGAAGAACTGCCCTGTGAGTTTTTATAATTATATTTCTCACATTTTCAAGATAGGAGGTCTGACAAATTTTTTTTTCTTTATGAATTAAATCATGGAAAGTCAACTGTGTGTGTACCAACTCACTTTAAATTTATTCTTTAAATTAGGTTAAACTGTGCCATCCCAGAAAATCTGTGATGTATTCATTTATTTAATAAATATTTATTGGATGTCTCTCAGGTGCCAAACATTGTTCTGTCCTAGGGATATGGCCATGATACCTAATATTCTAGAACAATATATGTTTGAGAATGAATTCTTTATTGGGTAGCAAGAGAATGCCGGAGGATTATACACTGCCACACAGTATTTCTGTAGCCAACAAGTGAGCCGGTATTAAAGTTCGTCAGTGTTCCTGCTGATTGGTTAGTGATTCAAACTATGCACAGATTCCATAGCTTTGCTAAAGTTCCCGGAGTAGGATTAGAACTTGCCTTGACCGCCTTGCGGCGCTGGCACACCGGGTTCTAGTCCCGGTTGGGGCGCCGGATTCTGTCCCGGTTGCCCCTCTTCCAGGCCAGCTCTCTGCTATGGCCAGGGAGTGCAGTGGAGGATGGCCCAAGTGCTTGGGCCCTGCACCCCATGGGAGACCAGGAGAAGCACCTGGCTCCTGCCTTCGGATAGGCGCGGTGCGCTGGCCGCGGCGGCCATTGGAGGGTGAACCAACGGCAAAAAAAGGAAGACCTTTCTCTCTCTCTCTCTCACTGTCCACTCTGCCTGTCAAAAAAGAACTTGCCTTGAAGGAAAATACCCTCCTGTTTCAACCCAGCTACTCAGTGGCGTTCTTTAAACCAAGTTAACCGTTTATACCACTTGAAGTGCATAGTCTAGCTGTAATCTGTTTAATGAAGGTAACTATAAATGTTCTTTGAGTATACAAAGAATTTGTTTCATTTATAAGTGGATTCCTAAGGTTTAGGTTTGGATACTAGGTTACATTGGTAGCTACCGTGTAGCTGATGACCTCTGCAAGGCTGTATTGCAAACAGTAGCATATCTGGGTAAATTATTTGAATTTCTTTGCTTAGCTCAAGACAGGGACAGGGATCTTCCATCTACTGGTTCTCTTGCAGATGCCTGCAACAGCTGGGACCAGGCCAGGCTACCCAGAGCGTAGCACTCAATCTGGTCTGCTAGTGGGTGGCAGGGACCCAGTACTTGAGCCATTGTCTGAGCCTCCCAGATGCACAGTGATAGAAGCAGATCAAGCGTCTGGTACGGGGTGTGGGCGTTCCAAGCAATCTCATGAACACTGTGTCAGACAACCCAGCCTTGTGTTGTTTGTTTCATAGACAAAAGTTATTGCTGTCCTGTTGCCATTCCAGGTTATCAGGGCCTAAGTTTATAAGCATGATTGCTATCATAGATATAGAATGATTGATACAATAACTGTGATAAATAGGACCAAATTCTTGAGGCTAGGACAGGTTATAGGAACTATGGAAGTTATTTGTCAGATGTCC